GCTAGGTCGTGAATGTGATGGGGCAAAGGCAGGTGGCGCTGGCAGTGGCGGACTAGGCATGCCGAACTGATCGCGCAGTGCATGCTCGCGCTTGAGGTCCTGTAGTGTAGGCTGTGATTGCTCAAAAGGGTCCAGGTACGGCAGAGAGGGCTGTCTGCCATGTGCTTGTGCGGGTGCCGCTTTGGTCAATCGCGCTTGTGCTGGTGATCGTGTGTGCTCTGCACTCGCACGAGCGCTATGTGGACTGCTATGCTGCGGTGAAGCTGTGCCGCCCGCCATGGCCGGCTGATATTTGCTATCACCACCAGTGAAGATGGCAGACAATCGTCGAGACAATGCTCAATGCGGGTGCTGTGAGAGGACAAAGAAAGTCTTGTGACAGAGGAAGTCGGACTCAGGCCAAAGCGATTGTGAAGCACTGTCAAACAATGAAATCGAGGATAGGATACTTAGCGAAGTGGTTGGTAGGGTGTAGCGATCAGGTGTCGCAATGTGTGTTTCATGGCCACGCACGCATAGTAGGGCTGTGGTAGAGACTTTGTCGTTCAACAGGTACAAAGACCCTGGTCAACAACCTTGCCTGTGGGCTACGTAATCGCCGCAGCCGCCGCCAAGTCCTCATCAGGAGTAGCATCCGACGCAAGTGTTGCGCAGCGAGGTGGAACCTGAAGACAGTATCGTTGGCCGCTTGTGTGGGAAGTGGTAAATGTGTTTTGCAGGATGGACGTCCGCAGGGAACAGGTAGAAGATGAAAACCGTTGCATTCCTTGGGAGATAAGCTCCCGCGCCAGATGCAAAACAGGCTAGATCGCCATATTGACTTCACAGAAGGTCATTGCAACGAGACACGAGACTAACATCAGACAATTTCGTCCACAAGGAGGAAGGCTCGTAGCATTGCTACTTCGTCCCCATCATTGACCTCATTGACAACCCGATTGAGTCGGCCATCGTCCCATGCATAGCCATGCCAGAGCAGCACACCTACAACCCTCGCTAGTCGAACCGCATTCGCAAGCGTTGATTCTTTCGGCACCAGCGCAGGAACTTGCTCCTGCAAACATCTCCAGAAATGTTTGCGTAGAGTTTCGGATTCATCATACCACATCCACTGGTGAGCAGCGTCCATGTAGCCTAGCAGATGATCAATGCCGTACAAGCCAATGCCGAAGGGTAGATGTTCGGCCTCAGCCCAGTCGACCAAGCCAGTGAAAGCCCATGTATCTGGATCGACGAACATGTTCATGGGTAGCAGGTCTCCATGCGTGAGAACGACAGGTAGACATTGCAGTGCACCTTGCTGCACAGCCTCCAGTATACTCCTGGCAATGCTTCGCAGCTTGTCAGCAGGCAGACCCACAGCCAGTTTGGCCAAACGCTCGAGCAACGTTGCGCCAATGCGGCCACTGCACTTGCCGTACAGGCTACTGGCCTTCATGTCGGTAGTCATGAAAGTTGTCGCGAAGTAGACAGCCATGCCATCCAGAAGTGTTTTGGTCTTCGTTACACTGAGTTCATTAAGATCTTGCTCCAGCGGTCGGACACTGTCGAAGCGGATGCCAGGCACTACAGTCATCTCGTAGACTTCTCTAGTGCCGCCACTGAAAGTGAAGTGGCCGACATGCCAGTCCTTGGGCACTAGCAGTCCGTGCAGTGATTGAGCATGCTGAATGCCACGCACGTCCAGGGCGAAGCGAGCATCTCTGAATTGTAATATAGTTGCAGACGAGCCCTCATTCTCTGTAGCATGGACGTACTTTCGCCTGTGCTCGACCTTGATAGTGCAAGAGCATCCGCCTTGTAAGGCCACTGCACGTATGCTCAGCGCACACGGATACAGCATCGAAGCATAGGCGAGGCATTGTGATCTGATCGTCGTATCATTAGCAAACTCATTCGCGATCGCGCTGTCCAAGCCTGTCCGGTGGCCTTTTCCCGTGAGCGACGGTGTTACGCATCTCAGCTGTCGTTGCCACCAAAGTAGCATCTGGTGCAGGTCTGTCAGCATTATCGTATCCTCGCAGCCACTCCACGCTCTGTCTAGCTTCGAAGTACATGATGAAGAGTATCGACGACTTTTCGCCACGCTTTGCCCAAATCTCATGGTGCTACAGCATGAGGTACGTAGATACCAGTTGTTGGACTGCACGAGGACATTGCGCGACATGCATATCCCACGCGTGCCACGACGTGATGTTGCATGGCGGTCGCGTGGGACACCAGGCTACGCAGACCACATACTCCTCTGCCTTTCACGTCATCATTCGAGTGCGGTCCGCTTGTACTCCTGGCAAGTGGAAGATTTGGCCGCTAGATGTCGCATACTGAGGAAGATCGAGGGCCAGATGCTGTAGACGGTCTGCTCTGATGCAATAGCCTGCGGTGTAAACAGCAAACGAACGAGGATCACGCAATCGAGACGCTGAAGCCTTGTCTCTGTATGCTTCAACCGTCTTCCAACGCTGCTATGATGCGCGTCCTTCATCAAGTTAATGAGACGTGATGTTGAGAGCGCGAGCTCGTCAAAACTGAACGTCAACAAGGATCCCAGTCGAGAGTGCACCGTGCGCCAGCAGGGCAGCACCAAGCTTTGCACCAAGAGCTTCCAAGGCGAACTCAAAGAACCTCCATCATCGTGAACGGTCCCACCATACCAGAATCTTGATCTCAATCATCGATATCGCATTGCGTCTCCCCAAAGCTCGCAACGCCGTGCCAGTCGCACAATGTTCGGCGCCACGAACGTGACCGCAATTTGCCTACGGATCGTGATCCGGCTTGCCATCATTGGCAGCGCAGCCAGGTAAAATCAAGTTTCAGCCCAGCTCATAGTAGCTTTTGCCTTGCTGGCACAAGAGTACTGCGCACTTATGACGATCGTAGCAATCGCGCATGTTTCACAATTGGACGTGAGAATGGTAGGTATCGTTTCTCTCATCACTTGGTGTTGTCTTCACTTCGACTGAGGAGCAGTCACCGAGCCAACATCGGTCTCACATGCGCTTGCAGTCATTCACTGCATTGATCAAACATCCTTCAAGCCTTCCCAATTCCTCATCTTTACACCTGCAATCTCAATATCAATTTTGTGATCTTTCATCGCGACAACATCCCCACACTCATCGGCGACGATGCAGCGCTTCTTCAACCGCCGCACTCGTCCTGCGGACGCTAACACGGCCAACTCCGTGGGCAATAATAACGGCGGCACCATACGTGAGAAGCCAGCTCGCAGCGGCCTTCTGAGCAAGCGCGGAAACAGGCATGCCAATACCGGCACAACACACGGCAATGGCTCACTTAATACTCGCCCGACCTTCGGGCAGTGGATCAAGGGCACTTGGCTGGATCTCCTGACGATGGTCATTATGGGCGTGATCGGACTGGGTGTGAGTGATGATGGCAGACCGCATGTCCTTCAAAAGGCTGACTCCAGCAGGTCTACAAAGCTCCTCCAGCTCCGAGCCGCTCATTCCCAGTCTACCAAGTCACCGGGGATGTCATGTTCCCAGAGTTCGCGTATCCGCTGCGGAAAGAGATTATACCCATCTGGGCTGCAGCAATGATCGCTTCATTGATCCCTATCTTCATCTTTCTGTGCATGCAAATTCGCATTCGCTCCTTCTGGGATCTGAACAACAGCATCATCGGCTTGCTTTACTCGCTCATCACTGCTGCAGTCTTCCAGGTGTTTGTCAAGTGGCTGATTGGAGGGTGAGTCTACGTCCTGAAACTTGTGAAAGATGCACGCAACTGACTATACCAGGCTTCGGCCCCACTTCCTTGCAGTATGCAAGCCCAATGTTGCAGCATACGGCGCAGAGTCTGGCATCGGATTTGCGGGTATCATGTACAACCGCAAGATCTGTACTGGAGACGAGAAGCAGATCAACGACAGTCTGGAGTCCATGCCCTCTGGTCACTCGACCGCCGCTTTCGCAGGCCTGATCTTCCTCTACCTTTACCTCAACGCAAAGTTGAAGGTCTGGTCGAACTACCACCCAGCCTTTTGGAAGCTCATTGTGACCTACATGCCCGTTCTTGGCGCAGTGCTGATTGCAGGTGCTCTCACTATTGGTGAGTTAGACCATACCCCTTCGTGACGCACAAGGACTAACACCTTACAGATGAATTCCACAATTGGTACGACGTCGTAGCCGGAGGCCTAATCGGCACCACTATGGCGTTCAGCGCCTACCGCATGGTCTACGCCTCAGTCTGGGACTTCCGCTTTAACCACATTCCGCTCACCCGCAACCTGCCATTCCACTACGGCGACGGCCCCTCAGCGTTCGACGGCTTCCACGATGCCATCTTCACTCGCAAGGCAGGCTGGGGCTCACATGAGGGTGGCGCTTTCGGCGGCGCGCCGTTTGATGCTACGCACGGTGCTAGGGGTGTTGGTGCAATTGCCCCGGAGGGCCCAGGCTACAACGCGAGGGCTAGCACAGATGCCAGGCGTGCGGATGGTGGGAGGCATAGTGTGTCTAGGAAGCCCGTGGGTGCTCAGCGTGGGGATGGCATTGTTTGAGCGTGAGGGACGAGCATTGCTACATTCGGGTTTGATCCATGGAGTCTACCGGAAGTGGGCAACGAAAATACCCTCTATTGCGATGCGAGCCTGCTGCTGGTGGGCAGCAGCGGAGTTTGATACTCATAGGGTCTGAGAGATTTTGTTACGAGTTGACTTACCTTTCACATCATTCTCAATTTCTCAGTCTCCTATTCGTCGAAGCATGGGCTGGGGCAGACCGTGGCGTGAGGATCATCTGAAAACGCTCCTTTGAGTCGTGCGGCGTGACTTGGTCGAATCACAACTCCCCGAACGGTCATGTGGACTTCTTCGCCTCCACCACCGCGTTGAACAGGCGTCTTGAGTAACGGCAAAAGCTTTTCCCACGGTCACTCTCTTCACTGGACGGTGGATGCGGGGCAAAAGGTTTGCTCTGCTGCCTCCATCCTGTCGACTGGTTAGTGGCTGGACAACCTCGAGCGTGCTCGGACCATACATACTGGAATCGAACCAGAGATCTTAGCATGATCTTGCTGAGCTACAAGTGCTACGCGTTACCACTGCGCCATAGAGGCTTGAGAAGATCTTGATCTTCAGAGGTGTCGATGGTGGCGAAAAAGAAGAGTTCGCTGTATATGTTCCCGATTTGGAAGGAACGGACTCAGTGACATTTTCTCATCCCACATCACGAATCTGCAACACTCACCACAACAAACATCGTTACGCAACAGACTCATCAATATTCCCGCTTGTATTGGTCGCGTCCTCGGAGCCCCACAAAATCGCGAGTGTATCCATCCCGGTACCTGCACCTACGGAGTTGCGTTTCACACCCGTGGGGTGGACTCCGCAATTCAAGCAGCCAACATTCGTCGCATACCTAGGGCTGAATCACGATAAGTAGTCACAGTGGTGGTAAGCGTATATGCTTATTACTCGTGTTCTACAACTTGCACGGCTACCCTCTAGCTTTCCCGATGCATGCATCGTACTCAAAGCCGTCACTACCTTACAGTTCTTACTACCCTTCATGGACATGCTGTGGATAATACGCGGGTGAGACACGACAAGCACTGGGTCACGCAATTTACTTCAGCAATTGAGGAAGTCTCCTCGATTCTGTCAAAAGCTTCTGTAACTTCTCCGAGAGCCTGCCACTCAGTTGTACACATCCAGGCACACCCACCACATCATATGTTGTGTGCACGGTGAGCGAGAGACAACCTCTACTCGGATGCTATCTTGTGCCGGGGTTGTTATCTTGTTCCTGCAGCTGAATGCTTCTCTAGTGGTGTGCGTGGACAAATCGGAGCACTACCTTGACCTCCGGCCTTTGAAGAGCCGTAATCGGTAGTAAGCGTTGCTACGTTACTCGCTTCGACTGCAATGCCACGAGTCGATGCTTGAGCAGTCACCGGGTGTGATGGTCGAGCCGCAGACGCCAAAATGTGGCTCATCAACACCACATCTGGCGTCCTGACAGAGTTCGACAATGAAGATCCACCATACTACGCCATCCTCTCCCATCGTTGGGGCGCCAAGGAGCAGGAGCAGACATTCAAGGAGTATCGCAAAGGCCTGAAACTAGACACACCTGGCCATTACAAGATCCTGAAGCTTCGCGAGATCGCTCTGACAGATGGCTACGAGTGGGTCTGGGTTGACAGCGCTTGTATTGACAAGCGATCCAGCGCTGAGCTGTCCGAAGCTATCAACTCTATGTTCACCTGGTATCGCAACGCGGGTAAATGCTACGCACTATTGAGCGATATCGACAATACTGACGAAGAAGGGTGGAAGTCGAGCGAATGGTGGAGTCGTGGCTGGACTCTTCAGGAACTCTTAGCTCCGGCAGATGTCACCTTTCTCGACACTAGTTGGAAAATCATAGGCACAAAACTCTATCATGCGAGGGACATTTGGGTCATCACTGGCATTCCGGAGTCTGTGCTCTTGGGCCGCGTCTCGTACATGAATTGGACAGTTGCTCAGAAGCTATCATGGGCAGCTGATCGACGAACGAAGCGTATTGAAGATCGTGCATATTCCCTGCTCGGGCTGTTCAACATCAACATGCCTCTGCTATATGGCGAGGGTCATAAAGCATTCCGAAGGCTGCAAATTGAGATACTACAGAAGTTCTCGGACGAGTCAATACTTGCGTGGGACCCACCTCGGGAATTGCTCAACGTACCACACGAAGTGCTTGCTTACAGTCCAGACGACTTCGCGAACTGTCCGGAAATGGAACCTAGCATACATCCAGATGACTTCAGGAGCGGTTCACAAAGGATGCAGACAGTGCTGCGTGTTGAGGACCCGCCACGGCCGACGAGTTGGGGCATAGAATTTCGCTCACATGCGCATAGACTGAAGCCACTCACTGGAACCAGCATACTGGTGGACGGTCGATATCACCAATTTCTGTATGCCGTAACGCTTACGGCTGCGTGGGCAGGGAAGGTTCGAGAACTCCCATGTACGATCGTACTCGTACAGAGTGGGCCCGCTGTGCTGACGTACAAGAGGCTGGCGTGCATTCGCCTTAGCACCGATGAGGCTCTGCAAAGGCTGAGAGGGGAATTCGTTGTTGGCGAACGACTGATGGACCTTCGATTCTATCTTCGATATGATACTGACTTCGGGTAATGTTTTGGAGTCACACGGCATACGTCAGAGTTCGTCCATCATTTCCACGACTGCGAGCAATCGCAACCTTTTCGGTACGCACTTTTTCAATGCTGCATTCGAATCAATGGGGGTATCTGCCCGGTCTCGAGATCTGCCGAAGCCTGCCTTCGCTTTTTCCGCGAGTCTGGAACGTGGCTAATGCTCTTACCTGCTTCCTCGCAACTGTTAACAGCTATGTCACTATGTCTGTGAGAGTCATGACTGATATAGAAGGCGTTGGTAGCTAGTTCGCTCTCTTCCATAGATATTCAGCGAGAGGTTCATGATCGCGGCTACATGTCTAGCAGCACGGGAACGCTCAAAGTGTTGGAGGAGCGGACTTAAAAGGGGTCCACTGGGCTTGTCTAGGTATTACTCGAACCACAGTGTGTTGGAAGCATCGGGAGGATTAATCATGTAGATTCGTGATCATTTGAGGACTTATCCGGCAGAGCGTGGTCCTCACAAAATTCATCGCCACTTACACCCAACTTGCACGTCTTTCATCACATGCTATATATTTGCATCAAACCCTCAAGTCCCAGATCGGTCGAGCTTGGGTCCTGCGCGTCGGGAGGATGTATCTGAGAAGTCAATGAGTTGACAGGTCGATCACCTCAAGATGCACGAAATCGTGACGCTGCAGTTTGGGCAGCAGGCGAACTATGTCGGCACACACTATTGGAACACTCAGGAAGCCTACTTTACCTATGAAGGCCAAGAAGAGTCTCCAATAGATCATGACATCTCATTCGTGCCGGGCTTCGGAGCGGACGGCTCAGACACTTACACACCACGCACCTTGATCTACGACCTCAAAGGCGCCTTCGGCACACTTCGGCGCGAGAATGCCTTGTACGAGCAGCATGTCAACGATCCCGCCCAGCTTAATCTCTGGAATAGGGATGCTGTAACCTTGCGCAATCCACCCATTCAGCCGAGTCCGTACCAACAAGCACTCGAGGCTGGACATGCACTCCCTGCGCTGACTACCGAGACTGTGCGATTCTGGTCGGATTACAATCATGTCTACTACCACCCGAAGAGCATTGTGCAGCTTAATGAGTTCGAACTAAACAGCTCGTTGATGCCCTTCGAGAACTATGCCACTGGCGAAGAGCTTTTCCGGAGCCTAGACCGCGAGCACGACCTGCTGGATCGGGATTTGCGGCCGTTTCTTGAAGCTTGCGATCAATTGCAAGCAGTTCAGATCTTCACGACTACAGACGATGCCTGGGGTGGCTTTACGGCGCGGTATCTGGAGCGGATTGCCGATGAGCTCGGCAAAGGAACGCGCTGGGTGTTTGCGCTTGAGAACAGTCCAGCCACCACGAGGAGTCGTCGCTTCGAGCAAATGACACAAGCTGCGGAGTCGGTGTACTCTATCGTACCGTCTGCTAGCATGTACGTACCGCTGAAGAACTCTCCGAACCTACTGGGAGGCATGCAGTACGATGCCAGGAGCCGGTGGCACACTTCAGCGTTACAAGCAGCTGTACTGGAGACATCGACACTCTCTGGACGACTGCGATCTGGTGCAATGGGTCATGCAAGTCTTGATGAAGTTGAGACTAGCATCTCGAGCAACGGGCAACGGCCTGTGGTCGAGACCTCATGCGCTTTCCGGGATCCGTTACTGCTAAGCGGAGCGAAGGCAGTGAACGGCGATCACGACACGCGGATGGCGAACGGACACATCAATGGTCATGCGGAAGACGAAGAAGCGAAGTCGACTGTCGACTTCATGCCAGATATGCCCTCCATGCACAGCCGACATCACTCGGTGCCTCGTCTAGGTACTACGGCTTCAGCACAAGTCGCTCGCGGACCATGGTACTCATCATTAGAGATTCAAGAAGCAGATATGAACGCTCGGGACCGGTATCTCCAAGGCACACGAACCTTCATCCATCAGACCGAGGCGCTGTTCCAACTGCTGTCTTCTTACCCGTCCATCTTCCGCTACCCTGATTCACCTGACAAGTTGGCCGTCAAGACATCGCTCTCGAGCTCGACGAGAGTCAACACGTATCTCAGCAATCTTGCGGAGGTTGCGAGAGCATCTCGTGGCATGGACGACCACGAAGCAGTCTATCATGGACTGGCAAGCATGGCCGAGGAGTACGTCGAAGATCGCGGCGGACTGAGCAGTGGTGATAGCGACGACGATTAGCCCCGTTTGGCTAGACGGCGAAGATCGGGACACGCAGTCACCGTACGACTTTTCGAAGAAGGTACGACCCACGGGGCTTTCGCCCTCACGTTCCTGCCTGCCACCACAAAGCTCAGCAAACATCCACGTTGGACATGCGATTCACTTTGGCCTTCCACCTCACAGCCTATCGAAATTAACACAATGAAAACCGCAAATTCCCGTAACCCCTTCCTCGGGTTCCCAGGAGACATGAGTATTCACAGCATAGACACAGGCGCACCAGCAATCGCTCCGATGCCTCAACTCAAAAGCGCCCCTGCACCATCCTCCGTCTCCATTCAAGCCCTCCGCGTCCTCCTCATCCGCGCCTGCGAATCCTGGTCCCACCACACCCGCCTCCAGCGCTCCCACCCAACTCTCGCGCAAATCCTCGCAGCGACACCCGACAAGAAGCCCCTCTCAGAGCACACCAAATCACTCGCTCTAACATACATCCTCGAAAAACTTCCCGCGCGCATAGCTGCGCTCAATCCCAGCTGCGAGGACCAAAGCCCACTCAGTGAGATCAACGCCACGCTGTTGTCTGCGGTTGGAGGCAAGGCGGAGAGCGTGTATATGAAGGGCCACTTCAACAAGCTTCTCCTAGGCGACGTTCTGCGCCAGGCTATTGATGCGGTGGAAAGCGAGATCACGGAGCTGGAGACCCAGCGCATGCACGATCTTGGGACGCTGAGAGCTCTCGTGCTGGGT